GAGGGAACAGAGCGGGGCCGGGCGGCTGGAGGGACCGGGGGGGCGGCCCCGCTGGCGATGGGGCCGGGTTTCCGTGTAGAGGTAGCGTGGAGGAGCAGAAGGGTGAAGTTGGCAGGTAGGGCGCAGTGTGCGGCAGAGAAGGTAACTGGGATGCGCCCGTTTTGGCTTTGGAAGTGGCAGGAAGTCATCATGAGGGATGGGCGCTTCCCCAGGTGGGAGCAGCACTGCTGATCTTGGGGTGGGCCACATACAGTGTGTCTCGTGGGAGAGGCCCAGCAAGGGCTCTTCTGATGGAAAGAGACAAAGTGCACCTCTGTGTAAGGTCTGGAGGTGCAGCACGAGCGAGAGACCGAGTGCTTTGTTCTGCCTTCGAGGTCTCCTCTATTTCAGAGCTCGTGTAATACTGTGTGCAGCTGTGATGTGAGATTCTACACACAATGCAGGAGATGTGGAAGCCTGTTCTCCGTTGTGTCCCTGACACAGAGGTTGTGTCCTCATGGAAAAGAGCTGGGCGATGTCTCACTGTGGACAGGACTGCTGACTGTGTTTTCTTGCCACCCTGTAATATCAATCCATTTTGAAAGCTCTAGTAGAAGCGAAAAAGTGTTCTGTTGCTTAAGCACTAGTAAAGGAAATGCATACAAAGTAACAAGTCAGCTGTTAAGAAACCTTTTGAAGGGCATCTCAAAATGCTTGCTTCTAGCACTCCAAACAAAGGGCTGTTGTTCAGCATCAGAGGGGGGAATGAGGGAAATACATCCTGGGTCTGGTTGCCAAGGGGTTTGATGCATTCTGAGAACTGGGTGTAAGTGTCAGAGGACTTCAGAGAGAAATTCCGCTTCTGTAATGAACTGCGAGCAGATGTTCACAGGAGATAAATTCTGAGGGCAGAGTACTTGAACACAACATTTCTGATGAGATGAGCTGAACATTGCCCAAACTGCTGAAAGGTTGATTTCCTTTCAGGAAAATTAAACTAAATGCATATCCCTGCTTCTTCTGCCTTGCAAACAAATCACCAGCATTCCTTCATGCAACATACATTGACTTCCGTAATACTGAAGCATATACTTCTTCAGTGAGCAAAGGTTTCCTCCTGAAAGGGAACCTTGAGCAGTGCAGCCAGACATTTTGTAAAGATTAGTTGGTATTTTTGGCATGTTAAGAG